ATGTCCATAAATGTTCCTAAATGTCCAGCTTGAAAACCAACAGGGGAGGCTTTCTTTGGCTGTGGGTTTTCGATTGTTTTATTTTTTTGGTGGGTCCAATAATGATAGATATGCCAACTAAATCTAACTGTATGTTGCCAAGTGAAACTGGCTTTGTGGGGTAAATTTTCAAAGAAGTCTGTGAAGTGCTGCTGAGTCAGTGTTTGTATACTTTGAACAAAAATTGGCAGCCTTTTGGTGTCTTATCAGTCATGGATGTGTGGTTTTGTTGTTGTTTTTTGTGGGTCTTATCATCATAGACAAGGCAACTAACTACATTTCATTTTTCTCAGTGAAACTGGCTGCAGTTGCTGAATTTTCTAATTGTTCCAAGTTGGGCCGACCAAATCAATTTTGGCGCACTTGGAAAAAACAATGGCAGACTTGTCGGGTATAGCCTCTTGAGACTTTTTCTCAGTCTACTCATGAATGAAGCACCTGCCAAATTTCAGGTTGCTCAGTAAAACTGACTTGGAGGGATACGTTTTCAAATTATCAGATAGGTGCAACTGCTAAAATATGGCTTTAGGAAAAAAAGTAACAAAACCAAACAAAAAAGTGCTGCTGTCAATTTTGGGAGGGGATTTCAAGATGAGATAAAACAGGTTTCGGGGGGCTAAATTTACAAAGTATTAGTCAATTGGGGGGGGGGGCATGTGTGAAAGGCCACAAAATCCTGTATTTATTGTTTAAATTACCACACTGTTCAGAAACCGAGTAACGAAATGCATTTGTGGCTGACCTAAGCAAAAGAACACCCAACAAATGCGACACCCACTGGCTAAAATGATTGGCCCCTTAATTAATTGCATTATCATCAGCAAACAGTCTCGCCACCACCAAAAAGCCTCCTGAGAGAAATCAGATATCACGTGATGTTGTGCCACTCTGCTCGGCTCACTGCAGCAAAACCAACAGGCCACACGGCCACAGTGCCTCCTACTGGCCGGTACAGTCACGACAGAGGAGGGAGGGCATCTGTGGCCTCCCTTCAGGACATGACAAGGATGTTTTGGCTGCACTTTTGCATGCTCAATTTCAGGGCTGCGTTTGACGAGGGGGAAAATGCTTTACACCAAACGAATGTGAATGAAATGGAAAATAGGTGAGGGTCGCATCAAAAAAGCTTGGCGCGATACAATAAACGGGCTGTTGTGTGTTTTAGAAGCCCACTTTTATGACCTGAAACAGACATTGTGTAGCTCTTTATTATTGAGTCACTTTTCATTATTGGAGGTGACACAGTGCTGGCTGTTTAGTCCGACCAGCTTCTCGAACATATTGCTGTATTTTATCTTTCATATTTCATGCTGACTGTCCAAGATTCTGGCATTGGTGAACCAAAAATGACCCGTTTGTGAAAAGCTAACTAAATACATTATTTTGAGTGTCAGTCACAGAATATAATCATACAATAATGACTTACAAAGAATCTTTTTCATCTTTTTGCTCCACCGACTGTCTTTCAAGACAGAACAAAAACTTTCTGGAATCATATGGTGGGGGAGACAGGTGCTTGGCATAATCGAGATCAGTGATGGGCACCTGCCGGCACTCGACCACAGTCTGAGTGGCTCCTTCTTTAATCAGAGATTTTTATTTTTTTTTTAAAGAAAGATTTGCTAATCCTCACAAGGGTTGCGGGCATGATGGAGCCCATCTCAATTAACTTTGGGCCGTAGGCAGGGTTAACCCTGAACTGGTTGCCAGCCAATCGCGGGGCACAAATAGACTTCAAAACCCTTTGTCGTGAGGTTAGTGTAGCGGATATTTTATACATGCATTAAAAAAATGTATTTTCAAAAATGAATGAAATCAGGGGCTCGTATGCACTTTCTTTGTCGATGTTTGAAATTGCATTATCATCATACATCTCGTTAGGAAAGGCATGGTGCTATGTGGCTCCCCACTAGCACTGTTGAAAAACTGTGGTGGGCTCCAGCATTTTAGTTGCCCATCCCTGGCCTATGTCAAAGCAGAGCGAGAGTTCTTTTGTCGCAATACAAAATTCAACCTAGGGGGCGACAAAATCTATGCCTCTTTCAGGTGTGAAATGAGAGCATTCCTCACCCAAGGGATGTCCCGTCGATCTAAGAATACAATCATTCCTAACAATATACGGGGCATGAAAATAGATGTTAAGCAGGGTAGAGCACACGCTGTGCTCTACCATTCACGGCTCACTCCATCATGACAGTGATTTGTAGCCATAGTTGCACAATCATGTCAACGCACAGAGCACTGTTTGCACCAGGCAAACCAAAAATAGTCCTCATTTTCCTGAAGAAACTACTCTTGAGGTATAGCTGTTCTCCTGAGGTAAATGCGTACCCACTGCCGTGTGTGTAGACAAGTGTGTTCACCTTTACGAAGTCAAACGCTCATTCATCTCTTCAGAGCTCACTGGAAGGCGTCCCATCACCGCAAGTCCATCTGTTCGGTACTCATCACAGTGCCACCCCCCACTTAGCACAAACGTCAGCATAGCATGCAGCTGCTAATCACAGCCAAAAGAAACATTTCATGCTCACTTCTTCACTGACACCCAGCTTTCATCTTTGAAGAGCGATGAAAATCATCAATTAGGTAGAAGTATCGGAAGGGACACACATCGGTCATCGCTGCCCGGTACAATATGGCGCAAATGGGTTTGGGGGGGGCTTCATTTTTTTAAAGTAGTCAGAGGTCAAATATCTGAGGGTTTCAAAATAGACCGGATGACTTCTTGTGCATTTTTAGGCATGGGTTGTTGGAATTTTTTTGTGGGTCTAGTCATAATAAACACACTTATCAAATTCCATGCTGCTAAGAAAAACTCGGTTCAGTCAGAGATGCTTCAGAGGCATTTTTTTTCTTGGAATTCCAGTGTGTTTTAAGGCATGGGTTCTCGACTTTTTTTGGGCGTCTACTCATGCTTCAAATGTAAAATGACAAGAAAATAATGAGCAGTATGTACCTTTGGAATTTTGACAAAATATAATGTCGCATTCAATAAAACTGGAAAATCTAAAATTTTAATCAATGGATCAATCAAAAATGTCTTCAATATTTTTTATTAGACATCATTTTACATTGTTTACCATCCCCAAAAGGGGAACCATAAAACATAAATAATGCATCCTTAAAAAATACTGTATTAATTCACAAAAGCAACTTTTTTTTACATTTGATTGTTTTATACATAAATCATATTTACATGTTTTTTTTTTTTTTTACTTCACATAGACTGAAACAAGTGAGCTAAAAAAATGAGCAATGCGGGGGGGGGGGGGCTTGGCGGTGACTTAACTGATTGTCCGTTATAGGAAGTAGAAGAGCTAGTTGTCCTTCCACAATAAAGCTGCTGCCCTTTGCTTATTCTAACTTCCGCATCAAGTTGGAATCCTTAGGTCACAGACCAACAACAACATGTCACAGTGCCCCTTGGTGGTTCCGGAGCGTTCCGTAAATGTCAGAGAAAATAGTGGCCATGATGCACTGCCAACTTCCTGTCTGTTTTTACCTGTCCTGCAGGTAGCCAATAAATCAACTCAAAATAAAATGACAATCTTGTTAGGGGCATCGTCCAATGTGTCACCAAATGCTGTTATTTTTATATATGTATTTTTTTCCAGAGAAGTCCAGGTCTTTTTTGGCAGAAATCAAAAGTATTTTTATTCTTTGGAAAAAAAAACTTTTTTTAAATATAAAAAATCCCAACATTTGGTGGTATGTGCTTTTCATCATACATTCAACACTAACAAAAAAAAGGATTTTTTGTCCGATAATAATGTTCAACGTGAATAAAATGTGTTTCTCCAAATTTTGTGATTCACGCAAAGTTCTTCATACGGTCAACAGCGCTGGATGCAAATAAAACTGGTATCTCATTTTCAGATTTTGCTCAGAAAAACTAAATTTGGCTTTGTATGTCTCACTGGACAACATATAAGAAGAATAAATCCAACAGTAACTCTGAGTTGTGTGATTCAGAAAAAAGAGCAATGCTTTTTTGTATTTTAACCAAAAATAATAAAATAATCACAAAATTTGGCCAAACAGACTCTTTGTTGGACAAGCAAATGAATATCTAAGAATTTGATCATTTTCAGATATTGATCAGGAAAAAAATAGTTTTTTGTATTGGAAAAATACATAGGCCTTATATCACAAAATCTCACAGGACTGTGGATGCTTTTTATTGGGACACCATTCAACATGAATAAAACAAGGTACTTTTGAATTTGGTGATTGAATTGGAAAACCGGCGGTGTAATTTTTGCTGAAAGCGCTTGTCTTGTCTTCTCATTCAGTCGTCACTTCAAAATCAACTGAGATGGTCTTGGTTTGACAGCCTCAAGTTTTAGCCCCCGCAATAAAATGGCAAAGAGGCGAGCAAAGTGCTTCGCGGCATAGACGATTATGTTGAAAATGATCCTCTTACTTTTTGGCTCACGAAAAAAGACAAGAAACGATCTGATGTGATGTGATGAATGCTAACGATGAAAACTTTGTGACGACTCGCGACTGGCTTCAAGTCAAGCGACGTGGAGTTATTTGCTGAACACAGTATGTTTTATTTTATTTGGACAAGTTTCCTTCCGCACTTCCAGTCGTGGTCTTTTAAAGTGAAATTGCTTTCTCTTCTCGGGCTGCGGCGCCATATGGAGCTTGTTGACATTCCCGTCTGTTTGCCGAGTGCCATTTGGATGCACGCTACGATTTTGTGTGTGCGTGCAGAGTTCGTGTATGTGTGTGTGGTGGTGTGTGTGTGTGTGTGTGTGTGTGTGTGTGTGTGTGTGTGTGTGTGTGTTGCGTATGCATGTGTGCCAATCAACCCACTAGCCAAAAGCATGTTTACGAGATAGGAGGGGCAAGGGGAAAAAAAAAAAAAAAAAAAAAAAACACGGATAGCCGGCGTCAAAATCATCGGTGGCCATTTTGTGGTTGTTTGCTTCCATGCTCAAAGTTTGTCGCTACTCTCACACCACAACGACAGGGAAGTGGGAGCACACCGGCACGTCCTGTGTGGCGAACAGGGTTGCAGGCGAGCTAGAAAGTGTTGTCGTTGAGCGAGGCTGAGGAGGGAGCATGATGAGAGTCAGCAGAAGAAGATCTCCCCATCCAGAGGAGCCTCGGAGAGGTGCTGGGAGTCTGGAATTGACCATGTTATAAAATGTTACTGACGTTTTGCCTTTGGGAAAACTAGAGCAATTTACGTGCTTAAAGATTGTTCAACTACACGAGCGAGTCTACTTGATTTTGTAGATAATTTTCAGCAGGTTCTTTTATTAAACAGGTGCAAAAATTATTTATTTAAGTTATTTTATTGATGTTTTTTAATATTTTCCCACTTTAATCTTATTTTTTTCCATATATATCAAGTTTTGTATATGTGCTATTTGTATATGTATATTATTTATTTATTATTATTTTACTTATTCTTTGTTTGACCAGTTAAGGCAATAGAAAACAGTTTTTCCATTTACGTGTTGTGGCCGAGGACACTTCAAAATTCCAACCGGCAACCCTTCGGGCACCGGCCGACGCACTCTCCTAACTGAGCCACAGCCACCCCATTTTATAACCGAGCACCATAGTTCACCAAGTGAACGGCTCCAAATTGTAGCCATTATAGGGCTTTTAGCATCTTACCATCTACAGGTAGATTACAATCTCAGGGAGCAGCTGACATAAAAAAAAGTAAATAAAAAACTAGAACTCTGTTGGTGTTGAAGATAAATAATGCTACTAAAAATAATTCATGTGAGCGTTGTATTCAGGATGCGCCCCGAGCGCAGGTAAAAACGAGCACGATGCGTACCTGCGGCCTGTCCTTTCACCTTCTTCTTGCGCTTGTCTTTGCCTTCCTTGCCACGATGCTTGGCCAGCTGCAACAGGCTCTTGGACAGCTGCGTGCTGGCCTCGCCGGCCTTCAATACGCCCGCCGCCGCCGACGAAGATGAAGACGACGTGAAAGGGTTGAGACTGCGTGTCTTGGCCTTGCAGCGCTGCGACGTTGAAGACGAGGAGGATGAAGAGGACATGTCGACGGGGTCCAGATCCAAAGATTGGCAGCTGCCCGCCAACTGGGACTCTTCCGAGGCGGTGGAGGGAGTCCGCTGCAAGTCAATTTGGCAAGTTTATTCCGACTGTGCAAGGTGGTGGACAACCAGTGCTTTCTTTTCAGCAATAACTGGCGAGATGTGCAGCCACATTAAGTCAGCATGAGTTTGGGTGTCTTAAGATTTTTATTTATTTATTTATTTTAACTCCATGGATTAATTTGAGGCCTTCTGTTGATTTCCATTGTGCACTCCACTAACAGGAAGAAGAACATCATGTTCCTGTGCATGGCAGAGTACATCGTGGCTATTTTTGGCTCAATGTTATTTTGGGTTTCAGGTTTTAGGGCTGAACGATTGTAGGAAATAATCTAATTGTGATTTTTTTTAACATTGCACCCCCCCCCACGGTATTTTTCTAATATAAATTGGAACAAACACAAGCAATTATTTAATATTTATTACAATAAAATTCTACCAAACAAGTGTTGCGTAAAAATATAAGTGTGTACTGTAAATGAGGAATAAACTAGAGAACTAGAGTGCACATTCCAACTTTTCATTATTTTCATGTGTCCTGATATTTAAACATGTGGACTGCACTGCTCAAATACTGGACCCATCTTCACCGTGTATGCATAAATCGTCATCACACATGCCTAAGTGGAGGAAGTTAAGATTACACCTGCCGACATGACGCAACATCTTCTGATTCCGAAAACAGGCAAGAACCAGAAGGCATTCCAACCGGAGGCTGCGGACGACAACGACACCTCATCCATTAAATGAGGAGTAACATCATTTCATCTGTCTTCAGTTTATTTCGTGAAACATCTGGCCACACACAGACAAATTCATCTTCTAAATGTGTGGCCGCTGACAACTTTCCAGCCGGGGGCTGCCATTTCCAGTCAGTTGACCGGAGGATGCGTTTTGATTCGCTCACTGCTCAAGAAGCGCACGCGGTGAAGCTTTTTTTTTTTTTTTTTTTAAATCTTATAAGGCAAAAAAAGAACATGTCAGATACTGACCTCAAGGTCTCGTGAGACAGAAATCTCAGAAATTACACTCACCCAGTGCAGCAGACTCTCGGCACAGCTTTGACGTTTGTGCCTGCTCTGCTCCCAATGACCGGTCAAATCTCAGCCGATGCAATTAGCAAATCGCGTTTTATCATATTGCATTATATTGTCAATGCGATTAAATTATTCAGCCCTAATTTCTATCATGGAAGGTTACGGCCGGCGTAGCACATGGCAGAGGTCAACCGTCGCCTGTTCAAAGTGACTTTGTGGTGTTGTTGTTCACCTCGGTGCGCCGTAGCTCGTCCATCTTGTCGAGCTGCCTCTGCAGGGCCTCCCTGTCCTTGTCCAGCTTCCTCTGGGCGTCTCTCAGCCTCTCCAGATCCCTCTGGTAGTCCTCCTTCCGACTCGCCAGCTCTCGCCTCTCGTCCTCCAGCGCCCGCTGCTGCTTGGACAGATCCTCCTCCTGTAGTGACGACCGCTTAATTATAACCAAGATACAGGCATGTTTTGGTGCGTGGAACTTTTCCGTAAGAATTTTACGTTTCAACATCCACATTTTTATCCAGGTCATGAGTAAGTTTAGCTTACAACAATAAATACCACAATTCTATCAGTGCTAGTAGTATAAATACACCCATCAGTTGGGGGGTTGCAGCTAGGAATGTCTATTTGTTTTAATAAATCTCACCAAGTCAAATGTTCCTGTTGCTTAAATGAAGTTATAAATTCATGATCTCATTGCTTTTTTTTTTTCCAATCCTGGTTTTTTATTTCAGGGCAGCAAATGGATCGATCGTACCTGCGCGTTCAGCAGTGTCTCCTTGTCGCCAAGCAGACGCTCCCTGAGCTCCCACTCCTTTTCGCGCCGGCGGCGCTCCTCGGCATGCGCTGCCTGCTGCCTCTGCAGCGACGCCAACTCCTGCCGCTGCTTTTCCAGGCTCCGCTGCTTCTCCTGTTCGACCAGGGAGCTGGGCCGTGAAGACGACCGTGACGACGAGCACGCCGACGGTGAGCGCTCGCTCAGGGCCTGACGTTGGTCCTCTATGAAGCTGTCCTGCTGCACCACCACTGCCTATAAAAAGAAACAACAACAAAAAAAAAAAACGAAGACATTATTTGCGGTCATCTGACGTCAATATGCATTCCCAAGCTGTCAGATGCATGCGATATACTGAGGATATCATACCTGCAGCGTGCTGAGCAGGAAGTACAAATTCGAGACGCTGTGGAGCACCTGCTGTTGGGGAAAACAATGCAATGAGCACCTTTGACATACACAAAGAATATTTTACGGGAGATGAGCAATACATATTGATTTATAGGACAGTAAATGGCAACGAGTTCGACGAGATCAAGTGACACAGAGGCTGAAAACACCAACTTGGCTGGTTTCCATGTCAACCGCGGCCTGGCTAATCAGGTTAGCGACGGGAAGTGACTTCTTTACCTCGCTGTTCCTCTTGAGCAGCTGCAGCAGGTTGGCGTTTCCTCCCTTGCCGGCATACACAAACACAAGGACAAAAATCAGTGTCAGTGTGCATGCACGTGTGGGTGCTTGTGAGCGTGCGTGTGGCCGTGCCGTTGTAACAAGCAAACGATGTTGTAATGCTTGTGCAACGAAAAGAAAATCACCAAATTTTGCGAGTTTTCATATCATTATGTCACGTGCGACCGTTCGTTGCCCATTATTCATGACAACCGTCAGTGTGCACTATAGAAATAAATAAAATACTGAGAAATAATCCACAGTTTAGTGCCGCCGATTTGCCCAAGAGAAGTAATGATAACAATTAGAAATAATCCACAGCAGCAGGTGTTGGCATGCTGTATCACGCGCCGGCACATCGTACGTGTCAAAAGGTAATTGATCCTCCTGCAGAGTAAAACTGAATGATTCAAATTAATCCTAGAGGTCCAAAAATGAAGCACACCCCATGCTCAGTTACGCACATCGTATTATATCGTTTAATTAATGATGTCTTGGGTAACAGAATGACTCGAAATAATTTCCAACGATTTGGATTTAAAAAAGGACAATAGGTAAAAATAGCAAGGCTTTTCGTACCTTCTTCAGGACACTGTCTGACTCGGTCCTCCGCAGATCTCTGGTGGCATCTTCGCTCTCGTCTTTGTCTCCATCTACCAGATGAGACAGACGCGGATCCGTCAGCATCCATTTCACGGTTACTTGATAGGAGCTAACGGTTATTCAAGTTATTTTAGCTCAGAATAATGTGGAATCTTACTGCCATTGTGCACAAAAGAACGAAACAAGAAATGGTCTTTTATTTCTATTATGCACTTTGGCTTTTATGAACAATATTACCAATCAAGGTGGCAGTGGTGGTCATGTTGGACCAATTGGGGTATTTGTCAAAGGGAGAAAAACGAGCCTTTCAAATTTAATTGTCATTGTGATGTGGATACACTACTCAGTAGACAAGTAGGTGCCCCCTTGGTGGTTGGCACACGCAAAATGAGCGACGACGCTATTGCATTTTGTGCAAAGGTAAACTGCATCAACTGCAAACCTCTGAGAAACTGAGGAATGAATGGCTTCAATTTATTTTGGGCATTTCACAGTCAGAAGCGTGCTGTGTTGAGAGGCACATTTCTGGGAGGAGGACTTCATAAACATCAGGCAAATACCCATTCTCTAAATGTAATATTTAATTACATCAGCAGCACATTTGGACAAGGCAAATAATGAACAGGCAATGTAGAAATTGCAGCTAAATAGCTATCAATATACGTCCTGGCGGCTTTTATGATTACTTTTGTCACAACACATTAATAGGTAAAGACTAAGCCTGTCAACAATGTTGGAAACCATTTCACGTGAATTCAGCTTCATAATGAGAGAAAGGCCTGACACCAAAGGATCAAAACGCAACATCGCTACGAACGCTCGGACGCCACAAGACGCTGAGGGAAAGCTTACATCCAATCGGAGAAAAGCTGTTTTCCATTGTTACTGTTCCAGATTCATCCAAGGATAAGAGCGATCCAATCAGAGAAATGTTTGTTCACATATCAAATATTACTGACAAATCCTGATGTCTAATTTCTTTGGTGTCTTTTGACCAACTTCAATAGCTTCAAAACGGACATCGTGTGCATTTCTAACCTAAATAATCTTGCAAACCTAATAGAAGGAAGTAAAAACAAAACACCCCCACCCCTAAAAAAAGTGATGGCATTGAACCATATATTAATACTTTAATCAAAAACTGAAGATGAACCACTTTATTGGTTCCCTGTTAGATTGTGCGGCTACATCTGACCAAGTGTCCATACGCACTTCCACACTTACTCTTACTGAGGTGCATCTGGTGACTGTCAAAGCCGCCAAAGGTCTCGGCCCGTCGGGGCAGGCACCCAGAGCCGGGCGCCCCTCCTCCGCCTACGCCATCTTGGACACCGGCCATCGCCCCGCCGAGGCTACTGTTCACCAGGGTCTGCAGTGTCTCCACTGTCTCACACACACACACACACACACACATGCACACGCACGCAGAGAAAAAAAATCAATGTGAGGTCAGTAAACGAATCATCCGGCTAACAGGGTTACAAAGGCAGTTGCCAAGCAACAACCTGTTCCGCGTACTTTACATTCAAATATGTTGACAAGACTTCACCTGTGTGTGTGTGTGTGTGTGGGTGTGTGTGTGTGTGTGTGTGTGTGTGTGTGTGTGTGTGTGTGTGTGTGTGCGTGTGCGTGCGTCATCAGCACAATCACATTGCCGCTACTGCAATGCAAAGGTGAAGTTGATTCCGACGGTTCTAAAAGATTTTTTTTTTGAACAATTATAAATGAATGTACAATGTCATACTACCGCCCTATTCCACACAGAATTAAATTCATTGTGCTACTCAAAATTTTACACACAACACACCAAAAGGACAATATGGGAAAGAAAATCAAATATTTTGAATGAAAAAAAAAGGTAAGTTTTCACAGCCTTAGCTCAATGCACCATGATTGGTGTGACATCACCTCTAGTCTCCAGGCACCATGTGCTTACGTTAGTGCAAGTAATCAATTATTGGTGCTGTGGGCATGTACGGGCAAAAATATGCATCGAATCTGACGCCTCAAAACACAAGTATTGTTTTTTTTTTTTGATAGGCAATGTGTCCATAAAGTATTCCAAGTTTTACTTTGTCGCAGCCGTATTGCAAAATTTCCATACACAAGACCCCATCATGACCATGAAATAAGATTTTCAAAATTTGAAATTGTTGTAAATTTAGAAATAAAAAATTAAAAACTCACATATACATTCACAGCTCTTGTTTAGTGCTTTCTTGATAATAGCAATTACAAACTCAAGTTTATTTTTAATCTGATGCGCCTTGGGACACTTATCGTTGGGCAATTTTGCCCATTCCTCTTTGCAGCGCCCCCCAAGCCCAATTGGGTTTGATGGGGACCGTCGGTGCGAAGCCATTTTCAGATCTCTCCAGAAATGTGGACATTCAAATACTAATCATGAAGCTACTCCTTCGGTGTCTTTTCTGTGTGCTTTGAGCCGTTACCCCTCTTATTGTAGGGAGTTGTGTGTAGAAATGATGAGGGAAGACATTACCATATCCAATTTTGCTGTAAGTTGGTAACAAAATGTGGAAAAAGATTTAGCCTGAATAATTTCAGGATGCCCTGAATGTATATGTATGCCCAAATTGTTGTTGAGCAGAGTTGGGGCGGGGGGGTGCAAATTGTGTATTGTATCTAATCAAGTGGAAAGAACAGTTAGCGTGCTCAGATGAAATGAGGCAGAAGGCGTGCAAAAAGAAAAGAAACACAGTACAAAACGAGACATCTTCAACAGGCCTTGAATTGATGTTCTTTTAACTAGTAATGTTCATTAGTGCTAATGGCTACGGCTACATGCTAACAAACAAAGACAACCAATGAAGGAGGACAAGTCTCTCCTCTATTTAGTACTCAGCCACAAAAGGAAATGATTTGTTTGTTTTTTTTTAATTGAGCAAAGTGGAGCCTGATGAGTTTAATGTTGCCCGTGTGGCTGTGCGTTTCATTATATTTTTTTCTCTATTGTCTCAAGTCATTCAGGTTACATTTATTGTGCAAGGTGTCGCTTGTCATAAAAACTTGGCGAGAAAAGCCATTGCATAATTTATATGATAGCGTATCACGCCACAGTGCCCAAGTGAGCAACTTTGCGTGAGCAAACGTACGGTGGAATTTTCCTTTTCTTTTCTTTTTTTTTTTTTTTTTTTTTTTTTACTATGGATGATTTCTACTTGTGTTTTATGCTACCATGCAAAATTGCAAGAGGAACATGACTACATCTGTATTGCATACAAAAAGGCACGAGGGTTGCCTGACCAATTGCATTTCCGAATTAAAAGGCAAAAAAATCCTCCCGTAATTGTGAATCACTGTCCATGCCACTAAAATTAATTTTGTGCATGATTCCTAGCCGATATGTTTATTCCTATTGTGGCTGTCATGAAAATCGGCGGAGCCGTCACATTAACCCTATGACGCACGTTGTGTGACCGAGCGTGTTATGCACTTTTGTGTTTCAATATGGCGTATTTCTCGTCGCGCCATTTCTAATGGTGTGAAGTGACGGGTATGCCACAAATTGTGGCGAGAGAATCCTGGCATGCAGTTAAGTTGTGCAGTGTAAAAGACATTAAAAGTCACTTTAACGCCGAAGTTGCCGAATTGTGTTGTCAGAAAAACAAACAGTCTTCACTGCAGCTGGATCCTTAAGGACAATGGAGTGTGAGAATAATTTGCATTTAGAAGAGAAGCAGCAGGCCCTAGAAGCAATAACAAACATCTCCAGCATCCTGATGAAGCACAAGACTCATCGGCAGCGTTTAAGCCTTGCCCCGCTTACCTTCCTGCAGGGCGTCCTTCATGACGCAGGCCCCCATGGGGGGCTCCGGCCCGACAGGCGACCTGAAGAAGTGCCTGGTCTGCCGGCAGGCCTCCTCAACTGGACTGGAGCCCTCACACATGCCGCGGAAGAGCCGCACCTTCTCCTCCAGCAGGGACATGATCTGAGAATCCTTCTGCTTCAGCAGGTCTAAAGGAGGGATGAAGGAAAGAGAGGGAGGAGAGTTAACTACTTCCGATACTAAAGAAGCATCCGGAGGACATTCTGGAGTCATTTGCTCGCCTCTCATTTCTTTGGCTTTGATCTCCAGTTGTCGCTTGTCATCTTCGGTCTCGCTGGGGATGCCCTCGTCCTCGTCCCTCTCCCTGTGCCGCACAACAGCAACATGTTTAATTGTGACTCCGTTAATTTTATTCAACCAGGAACATATCTTTTTTTTTCCTTTGAAGAGTAGTTTTGCTCTTCAATAACTTCACTTGAGTAGCAATTTTTTAATTTTGAGAAACAATTTTTCTCTGGTTAATCCCGGGTGACAAGGATTTTGTTAAACAATAAAAATATGACAATAAAACAGGGGCAATTAAATGTAGTGCTGGCAATTTAAGCATTCAAGTATCCTCCTAAAAATTCTATTGAATAATCGAGTATTTGGATCACGATTATCTTTGCTTAGTTAAAGAGCCATTATGAATACAAAAGAGAAAACAATAAAATTTCACTTAAAAAAGAATTTTCATATTTGAAAAATTGTATCAATAACATTAGCAATACAAAGAAACGAATTCTGCATACTGTTCAATTGCACTGCATAATTACTGTATAAATGATGGCTTTAATATTATTGTAATATTAAAAAAAAAGATCAAGTGGAGAGTGACACGAATTATATTTTTCATCATCAAAATGGGAATATATACCGTAAGTGTTTGAAAAGGTGAGATATGATATATTATATGTTGATTGATGTTCTTATCAATTCAGTAACAGTGGTGCTACAATTCACTTATCAGATAATAATGCTCAAGAAAGATTTTAAGCACTATACCAAGCTGAGGAAAGAGGATATTTTTTTCCCATTCACTTTTTAAATAATGAGCAATATTCAAAATATTTGTAAATATAAGTGGGCTAACTTAAGATGTCTTAAGATGATATTGGAAAATACATTTTATTATTTCATCAATCTAATGTTGCAACTCCCTAAGCTACTTTCTTGGCACCAGTTATTGGACTGTCTTTCCTCTGCAGACAGGACTTTGGCAGCATCCTGTGGTTTATTAGGTTGTTTCAAAAGTGAGAGTGCAAAAAAAAAAAAAAAAAAAAAAAAAAAGTTACGCTTTTGTGCATTGCTGGGAATATTTTCCACGGATGAAAAATACAAATTGGAAATGTTAATTATTTGTGACCTGCGAATATTCATGGCATCACTGTACATTGTTTGGCGTAATTAAAAAGGAACCTTCCGGCAGCATGCCCGATGACTCTTTCATTCCCTGACTTTGTACTCAGGCTAACTCCTGGGCTGCAGCACAGGCCTACCTGAGCCAAAGGGATGTGAATCCATGGTGGGCCATAATTGTTAGCTGGGGGTACTCACATGGACTGCATGGCGTCCTGTATTAGCTGCATCCAGGCGTTACGTTCCTCCTTGGAGCTGGCCAGCACCTCCATCATCTCTGGCTTCTCGATGCCTGCCGTGATGAGGAAAAGTCCGCGCTCCTCGTTGGCCACCTCACGCACAATCAGCTTCTGCAGCGAGATGACAGTCGAGCGCTGGTCCTACCGGGGTGAGGGGGTTAGTTTAGACAGTGGGTGGGAGGGCCAAGGAGAAGGAGGAGGAAGACACATGACAGGAGAAAGGGATGGTGATGATGATGATGAGGCAGTGGGCAGGAAATGGGTTGGTGAAGCGGCGAGGAGGGGAAAGGAAAAAAAATGACAGGAAGCATCAAATGTGAGCAGGGGAAAACAAGCAGAAGATTAGAGTTGCATTGGATGAAGTGAGGGAATAAAAACAGATGCAGAACAATAGAAAATAGTTAATGTCCACATCCATTGTGGAAGAAAAAAACTCAAGTAGAATATAACCAACAAACATTTTATGAGGGTAAATATATATATATATATATATATACACACACACACACACACACACACACACACACACACACACACACAATATTGTAAAACACTCTTAATCAATTAAGAGGTAGGATTAGACCTAAAATAATGATAACATTTGGTGGGTCAAAGGTATGTGCTGTTTATCCAAGAGAAAATGTGCCACAGAAAAGCATATGTTGGTGTTTGTTTTTCATGTTGGTTGGTTGGTTTGCAAGATTCCTTTAAAGAATACAAAATTGCGTGGAGGGTACATTAAGCATAAAATGAGGCGTTTCATGTTCTCTTGTTACAGTCAACTTGAATTGGGACCAAGTGGGTCAGTGACCCACCAGATCCAGCAGATGGAGCTCCAGTGAACCCCTACACCACCCCCCACTGTAAAACTTAGTTAACATGCATTACTGCCCCCTACAGGACAGAAGTGGTGCTGAATCGCCCAAGACTTCATGGATTTCGGATGGTTTGGACTTGGTGGATATCTGCGCGCCATTACTCTAGTGCTTTTGCTCAAGGCTGCCCTCCAATCTACAAACATGTGATTTGTCTTTTTAAAGGCCTCCGCTCTGAAATGGCCGGGCAATTTCGTGATGATGAGTGTGGTTTCTTTGCCGCAGGCCGCGAACATTCTCTCCCCCTCTCGCTTGCTCAGTGTGCACGGGTGTGTGTGCTAAGGTGGAAAAAGAAGCTCATAGCTACATGGCATTCTTTTTGTAATTCTTTTTCCAAATATAAAAATACACACACACACACATACATACATACATTATATATATATATATAAAACACACATACATATACATACACATAGATATATACATATATCTGTGAAATTTTGATATTTAACTTTCCTTCATTGCATTTTATTCTTATTACTTATAATTAACATTTCTGTGTTTTCTTTGTCTATTTGTGAAATAAGACGGTTTCACGAAGTGTGCTTCGATCAGGCCTACCAGCATGGCGAAGACATATTTCTGGTCCTTCTCCTGAAGGAAGACCAGCACGTCCGACAGGAGCAGCGCGTGGACGTCTGAGATGACGGAGAGCTCGTAGTTAGGCGGTTTCTATATTTTTTCCCATTATTAGGGAAATGTCGTCACCTTTGAGACGTCCCTGGCTGCTCTTGAGCTGCAGCGCACCGTCGTGGACCAGGCGCCGCCGCAGCAGGTCCTCGCGGGCGAAGATCTGGCCACTCTTCATCATCATGATGGACTTGGTGTCGGTGCGGCTGTGAAAATCCTTGAGGCGCCGCCGCTTGTCGTGCTCGTTCACGCGGCCGTCCACGCCAGCGATCGTTTCTTTTACCAGGCGCAGCGCCCCAGACAGCTCGTCGTAGTCGCTGTCACCCTCTGCTCCCAGAAAAAAGCAGGTGAGTCAGTGAGAATCCAAGGAATGTCTTCCTTTCTCTTTGACTTTATTTGTCTGTGTACTTGCCATCACCACGAGAGGGTATTAGAGGACCAATGGTAAAAATACATAGTACAAGAAATTAGCACAGTGCATACCGATAGCAAAATGTGGAAAAACTGTGAGCTTCACTTAACCCCCACCCCCAATTTTTGTTATACCAGTCCTCCCTCATAAAATATACTACTTCCCATTTTTTCCCGCCCACACGGGGCATTCATCAAAATGCTTTTAAAGTTGTGCTTTAAAACGGTTGTGTTGTCATAAGTGTAAAGGTGCTTCGCGCATGGAGGAGGAGTAAATCAATCCAAAATATTTCCTCTATATTGCTGTTGAATGAATGGCAACGAGAGAACACACAATTTCATTGCGTCTTCGGCCATCGACAATTTAATTACTCTGCCTGTCATGATGTCAGTGGCATGGAAAGCTGAATAACGGGACATTATTTGTGTTAATTCTCAAACCAACTAAGGGGAAGCGCATTATTTCCTGCTGCACAGTTGATGATTTTCCACTAATGTGTCATGGCACAGGGGTTGGGAATCACTGCTTCAGGTATGTCGGCAGTCAGAGCATTTGTCTGACCTTTAGTGTGCTGCAGGATCCTCTGAATCAGCACAGGGTACTTGGTTATTCTCTGGGTCACCAGCAGAATGCATTCTGGGATGCTGAGACGCCGAACAATGCTGCTGCTCATCTTTTTCTGATTGAAGGAAAAAAAAAAACCAACAACCTTAAACCGCACTGTCAAAATTGGCTTGAATTAGCAATCCCTCTTTGGGTGGATTATTTTGCTCTTAGTTTGACCAACTCCTACTCGGGAAGAAGAAGAGCAAGATGGACGTACTTTGATGAAGGCCTTGAAGCGTTTCTCTTTGGTCAAAAGGTCCTTGTACAGGTTGACGGCCTCATTGTGGCGGCTGCAGAATCTCCCGTAAATCCTCTTCATGCTTTCGCTGTTGCATCCCGAGAACTTGAAAGATTGGGTATAGAACTTATTTAAAATCACTTTGGAAAGACATGGGTAACAAACAAACAAACGAAAACAACAATATAAACCGATGAAAAAAAATATTTTTTTTCCACATTACACTGACATTTCACAAAAAGTTTTCAAAACTTAGACCTTTATTTCTACACCTCTTACACCTTTGCTTTATTTTTCATCTTGTTTCAAATATATTTTTACACCTTTTTCCTGTAACTTTAAAGACTTTTTTATTGAACATTGCCACTTTTTGTCAAAGCTTTTACTAAATCTTTTTTACTTAAAGGTGGTAGCTTATTTATCTTGTAAATCTGCCTCACCATTTTATCATTTCTGGATGTATCGTTGCAACACAATGTTTGTGAGTCAATGTGAACTGCTGCATGTATTGACATAACAATACAGACTTGCCTTTGGTTTTTCTCGTAACTTTACTATTTTGGCATTCCTACTGAACTGAACTGCTGCCATGTGAACATCATCTCTCTCACCTGGCTGAGGAGGATGTCCCCTATCCGGTGGACGATGACGCCTCGCTCCGAGCGCCCGCCCTCTGCCTGGCTTTCACGCTTCCTCTCCAGCAGGCGTAGGAGAAGCTGCGTGTGGAGCTCCAGCAGCTCGTCCAGCGCGGGGAAAAGTCGCTCTAGGGTCTGCGGCTCCAGTTGCACCTCCATTTGTAGGCCCTTGCTGTACACCTCCGACATGATGCGCAGCGTGCGGATGTGGTGCATCTCCGTCTGCATCAGCTCTGCCGTACAGTAAATAATGTCATAAATTAGTCAAGAAGTAACGAAACTCACAATGTTGAGAGCTCAGAAAGGGTTAGAAACAAGTAAAATGCTAAATTATAGTCAATTACACATCATTTGGGAAAAATCTAATTTAAAACGACATCCCTGGATTCGGACTCACAATTCGGGATTTTGTTTTTTATTCGGAAAGGATGAGCTCATTGAGGATAAGTTCGATAATTTTGTTGATCCATCTTTGCCTTTTTTTCATTTTTATGTAGTCGTTGAACGGGTAAACATTTGGAGACACACGTAGCGGCTTCATCCTTCATATTGTTTGTACATGAGTGAGGTGGTGGCATGTGAGTACCGTAGATGACGTCCTGCCTCTTGACCAGATTGCGGTCCAGCTGCTGGAGGTACTGCTGCTCCACGCCTAAACTCCACGAGTCGGCCTCCATCTCCTTGGCCTCGCCCTCAAACTCGCCCATCAGCTGGCTGTCCATCATCTCTGTCCCTGCAACCGGCACCAGCAAAATTTCCATGTTACCATCTATTTTTTGTTTGGGACATGTTATAAATGTATCTCACATAAAGGCATCATAACGGGTCTCCATTTATTTACATGGTTGCGATGGAATGTAATGACCTTCATCAGTGAGTGATTCCATGGACTCTGTGACCTGATTTGTCCTGTTGAGCGAGTCAGTAGACTGGGAAAGATAGCGCAGACCCCTGATGGGAATCTCGTCAAACACTGGACTACAACCAGACAAGACACAGACACAGACACAGACACACGCACGCACGCACGCTCGCACACACACACACACACACACACACACACACACACACACACGCAATAAAGTCAATGAACAGATATTATCAACTGACGCAGTCATTGCGGAAATCGTCCTGCCTACTCACCCAGCAATGTTGCTAATGGAAAGACTTTTGGACAGGTTGTTGCCGTGGAACGGCATGAGGCTGGTATGTCGGCGCGACTGCGGCAAAGTCAGAGACGAGTGGTCCTCTGGGGACAAGATGACTGACCAGGGGCGTTCCCTTGTCCCGCATGCTGGACAGGAAGGGAAGCAAACCGGTCAATTCGTGCCTAAAACATCACAAGGGCTCAAGAAGGAATCCCAGAGGAACTCCTTTTAGGTTTCTGGTTTAGAGGTGATAGTGTAATAAGATTCCCCAGATGAATATGACTACATCAGAGATTATAACCAACCCATAGCTATTATACCGCTTGAAAAACGTTCTCCAAACTCACTACTACTCACTGTTATTGATGCCAAAAGAATACATTCAAAACCAATGCACGATAAATCCAAATGAAGTAAAATAAAAAGGTAAAATAAACGTGAAAAGTCAAAATGTTAAAGCTCTAACACTATCTCAAAACATTTATATTTTAAAAAATAAAATAAAAAAATAAGACAAATATTCAAGGCCAATGAATATATATAAATCCATTTGTATGACAGAAAATTATTACAAATTGAAGTTTAAAAAAGGGGAGGAAAAAGTGAAAACTATTTTAAAACATTTAACCAAAATTACATTTTTAAAAAATTGTAAAAATATTTAAATCTAAATGTATTTAAATCATTCATATAATAGAAAGGATTTTTAAAAAAATGTTCATTCCAGAAAATATATTGAAAATCTTTGATACAAAAACAAAAATTGACATAAAAATTAAGAACAAAAAACAGTTTTGTAGCTAATGCTACTGCTGGTGTTGGGGTGTCCAACTGCACTCCACACCATACTGGAAGCCATTTCTACCACTTCTGCTGACTTGACATTTCTTTCGCATGTTGACATTTGACACCAATATGTCAAATGTTGATACATGATACATGACAGCGTGTTTGAAGATGCGTTTGATGCTCGCAACTCACATTTGTTCCTCATGGTGACACCGGGGAAGGAGCTGGAATCTGGCACTGTGTTAAGATGCTGCCTGGGCAACTGGCCAGCATTAAAAGAACCAGAGGGTGAGAGAGAGAGAGAGACAGAGAGAGAGAAGAGAGTGAGAGAGAGAAAGAAAGAAAGAGAGAGAGAGAGAGAGAGAGAGAGAGAGAGAGAGAGAGAGAGGTAGCTTCAGTATTGGTCCACAGGACAACATGCAAAAGCATCAGAGTTTTTTTTACCTTCATCTTCACCTTGGCGCAAACGGCCAGACCGTCCCTGCAGCTCTTGTGCACGCAGGCATTGCAGTCTGCAAAGAAAAGTGGGAGAAGGCAGATGAAAAAAAAGGTGTGGTGGATGGAAAACCGGCCCTGTAATGAAAAGCAGATTGTGGTGCGTGATGCAACACGGGGTAATACTGGGGGATTGGGGGTGGGGGGGGGGGATTCTAAAATGGCTGACACATACAGTCGTTGCTTTGCATGGGAAAGTTTCTCAGTCATCGGGAGATTGCCAAAGTGTGATTTGGTCTAGAGTTTGGAGGACAAACATACTCTTGTTTCCAATGGAGACTCATACATCATCTCTCCCTCTAACGCTACTATTGAAAAGTGCTAAAAAGGTGCACTTAGAGAGGATTGACTGTACTAAGGATGACCAACAATAATGTAAGTTCCTCTTCCGAGTTCACGAGCTAGAAACACCCTTCATACTGCCTGTGAAGTCTTGTATACAGAAAACAGTACTGACAGAGGCGGGGGAACAAAGTCAGCCTGACATTGCTGTCATATAAAACAAGGATGAGGACAAATTTTTTGTTTCCCTTTTCATAACTTATAGTTAAGTTTTTTTGTTGTTTTTTTAGAATTGTGAAAGTAATGAAACAAGTCTGTTGTTTTCAAATATTTTGCTTCAACAATTCAAAAGAATAATAATCATATTCTTTTGTCGAAACATGGTCTTTGTTGCATAGTACTAATATCATATTGCAATATACAGTAATAGCTAAAGTATATTTATTTTGTGAAAATGCTTCATATACAGTATGCAGATATATAACTTTCTAAAACACAAAAATGATTCTTTGGGGCCACAGTGTCTATTAAAACTCCTGTTTGAGAAAATATGACCGCTGACCTATGACTTTGTGCTTGGTAAAATATAACCATAAATACCCCCACCACGAACAAAAGTTAAACTTTGTTTTTTAAGCGCCATCTTCCGCGTGAAAGTGCACACTTCCCACTTTTACAATGATGTCAATGCAAGCACTCGTCTGAGTCAAAGTGAAAGAAAGCATTACGTCTTTCTTTCACATGGCAGGGAAATATTCAGTTCTGGTGTATATTTCCTTCTGTATTTAATGGCATTTTTCATGCCCCGGCTTTCCTGTGTGGAGTTTGCATGTTCTTCCTGAACGTGTGTGGGGTTTTTCCGGGTACTCTGGTGCCCTCTCACAATCCAAAAACATGCACGGTAGGTAAAGTGTTCACTCTACATTGTCATTTGGTATGATTGTGAGTGTTATTGTTATTATTTTTATCTTTAGTTATTTCTTTTCTTAAATCTACGTTTTTGTCTTTTCCTATTTTTCTTCGTAGTATTGTTATGTATTTCTATTTTTAATGTTTTTGTTCTTTCTTTTCTTGTATTTAATATGTATTCTTTGTTTTACGGTTCCTTTTAGTGTACTTTATCACAATTGTTAATAAATTTAAAGTGCATTTTAAAAACTTTGGATTTAATGTATTGAACTTTTATTCTATATTTTAGTATTTAGTTTTACTTTTATTTTGTATTAACATTTTTTAAATTTAATATCATTTTATATTCATATATTTATATGTTTGTATTTTTATACATTTTTTGTATATTAATTTTTTTATTGTGGTTAATACATTATTTTATGTTTTGTGTCATTACTGTATTCTCTCATTACTCTTTTGCCTTACTTTTTGTGTTTCATCTTCAATTGTTTTAAATGGCATGTTTAGCTTTTTTGGGGTGCTTTATTTATTTATTTTTAACTGTTCACCTTGCAGATTATGCAACATAGCCTATGATTGCTCGGAGTCCCACGGCCATTTTCTCCTCTTAAACGGTTTTACGAGGGCTTTTTTTATGACATCTTTCGTAGGCAGGGCCTGCACATTGCCTCAAGCTCACACAAAAGAGCGAGTGTGCGATTGCCTGAATGTCTTCCAGGCCGGCATCTGCCTGGAAACACCCTCAGAAGCGACAAGAAGCACAATGATGGGACATATGAGTAGAAAGCTGCTTTCTGCTTTTTCAGACTGTTGCGCCAAAATCTTGCGCAAGCGGTGACATCCTCTTTCTTGCTTTTCCTTGCCGCCTTAGTCACATAAACCACACTGGTGATTAATTTTGCAGCTGTTTGTGGACACCATCAGCCAATATACTGCTAATGATTCTTGCGGACCAATGTTAATTTTGGCTTAACGTTGAACGTAGAAAAAAGTACATAGAATATAAAATAGAAAATGACTAATAAAAATAAACTACGAAACAACAAAAAATTGATTAATGCAACAAAAATATTGAAATAAAGTGAAATAAAAATACTTAGCCGAAAGACATTAAACAAAGAGAAAATAAATCAAATACAAAACCCCCCCAAATAAATATAACAAATAAATGACTGAAAATATATATTTTAAAAAAACATGCCAAAAAAATTTAAAAATTAAAATGAACAATGAAACGATTAAAATGAAATTTTAGGGATATTTTGGCTTTTAGGTGAGATTTCAGGACGAGCCTAAAATGCATTTATATATCAAAGACACCAGCAACAATGGCAACAATAATAATCCATCCATTATCCGAACCGCGTTAGCCTTTGGAGGGCCACGGGCGTGCTGGAGCCTATCCCAGCAACCTTCGGGCAGTATGTACAGTAAGTATGGTACACCCTGAACTGGTTGCCAGTCAATCGCAGGGCACACACAGACAAACAACAATGATTCGCGCTCACTATTACACCTAAGGGCAATTCATAGTGTTCGATCAACCTACCATGGATGTTTTTGTCATGTGGGAGGAAACCCGAGTACCCGGAGAAAACCCGTGAAGGCAGAGGGAAAAACAGATGCGAACTACACACAGGAGACGGGATTCAAAACGTAGACGTCTGTACTGTGAGGCGGACATGCTAAGCTTTCGTCCACCATGCCGCCACCGCAACAATAATCATTCTGTTAAATAAACACCTCCACCTCAGAAGTGATCGCCATTTTAACCATGAAGGCAACTCTTAGGCGGGATCTCGTTACACTGTGCAGGGGCGACACACAAACAAAACACACAATGAGGACATGTGACGGTACTTACACGTGCACTGAAAGAGCTCCTTGCTGCTGAGGGCCTTATTACACTGGAAGCAGTGGGAGCATGGTAGCGCCTGGCTGGAGCCCATTGCAGCAAAGTGGTGCCCGTTGAACGCCTTTTTCTCCTTCTCCTTGGCCTCCTTCTCCTTTTTGTCCTTCTCTTTTTCCTGAACAGGTGGAGCACACCAGCAAACAAACAAAAATGGTGATTTTGGAGCATGAAAGCAGGAAAAAAAAAATAGTATGCATCGATGAATGGAAATTCCTCGTCGGAATCTAACTGAGAGGATTTATTACTGCCCCGATGGGGAGTCCTGGAATATTAAGCGGCCCATTATTTACTCGAAGAACGAATTGCATCATGAAATCGTGCATCTTGTAGTTAAACTCACTTTGAGTTCTTTTCGCACTCATAACGCAACACGGGCCTGACCCTGTGTGCTGTCTGCAAAAAGAACAAGACTGCAGAATGTTGGAGGAAGGAACTACCTGATAAATATTTCCTCTTTCGCTGTACTACACTTGCCGCTATACTTTACGGGCATATAGCACTTTTGAATTACAAAACATGACAGCTGCGAGCGGCGATGAGCGGGTGAATCCTTAAAATGATTCTCCAACTTGGACACCATGCTCCGCCCACATTAGATGGCAATGGTGAAAAAGCATCACTTATAGAAGAAACCTGCAGCTCAGCCTCAGCCTTAGACTCAGGTCTTGCTGATCATATAATCATATCATCGACTGAGAAACCCATTGTGGCTGTGGTCATGATGTTAATTAGCCCCACTGTTACATAACAGTGGGGGGGCATACATGTAAGTGAAAAAGGTCTTGCACAGATTGACACTATTTTAGAAAAAGGGAGTTAGATTTACACTTGATGCGTGGGCAGACATCCAGAGACCAAAGTATTTGCACACAAACAATAAAAAGTGCATACTAAAAACTAAAAAGTGAAAACTACTGTCGTCAATGGTTAAGAATGACACAGTGTAACATGACTCTGTCTCCTCCCGGGAAGTGTGACAGCTGACAAAGACGTTCCGTCTGGGAATTAGTTTTTCCCGACCTTTCCGTCATTGAGCAGTGCTATATACACAGTTAGATAGAGAGATGACGTCATCCCTCTGCCGTTTCGGCCATCACAATTCCGATGAAGTGATGGGGAGAAGAACAGGAGCTCCTATTCTCACGGCTTGACGTCACATAGTATCCACCCAAACCCAAAGGAAACCAGTACAGCAGAGTTTCCAAAGCTCAGGTTTACAAGGCAACAGCTTCGGGCACAAATCTCAGAAGAATGAGAAACTTACAGTGGGAAATCAAAATCTGGTAATCCAATTTTAGGAAAAGTACAACCGTTATAAATGGCACAAAATTTTAATTTGACTTCACATTAGACTTCTGCAGTGAGCATCAAAAGAATTAAATCATTAGATTGAACAATGTGAAGAGACTTGCCTCTAATCTTGCCACTCGAGCTGTTCATTTAAAAAAAATCATGTGAATAAGTGAATACTTTTCAAAAATTTAATGCATGAAGTCATTCAAGGACACTTACTTTGCATTATCTTGAAAAGTTTCTCACCCTATTTTCTCCAAAGAGTCTCGTCTGCCTGCTAGAATCTTACGTCACGCAGCTGTTGGCTGTCAACCAAGGCTAACTAATTATCTGCTAGCATGGTACTGCTAACAATCACTATTTTATTTACCCGACGTGAGTTATTGTTCAATGTCCTCTGGACCACTAAAAGGTGAATAAATATCAGCTATTATTACTATTATTCAGCGAAGCTTCCTCTGCACTTCCTTAACCACAATGCCGCCTCCAAACTTCAAAGAATGAGTAGTTTTACTTTATTTTAGTGTTACGATCTAACAATGAACTCCATTTTAGACTTTTATGACAGTCAAAAATACTAAAAAGATATCCTCAAGACTGACTGCCTTCAGCGAGCTTGAATCTGCGCCTCCTGAAAAATGCTCACAGAACAATATAAAGTTGAGTAGTTTTACACTGTCTTACGATATAGTGGTTGATTTCTGCTGAAACCTGTATGACGGATAGGAATAATGCCAATTGCTACACACAAAATTGAGTGCCTTCAGCCAGCCTCTCTGCACGTTTCTAATTGCTGTGCGGATGACTTCATGGTTTTACTTTATCCTAGCATTACATTACAGTCGTTAACTTCTTTTAACACTTGCATGACGGTGAAGACACATTTAATTTATTTTGCTTTGAGATCAACTTCTTGACTTCTTAAGATACTTAAATGTGACTCAAAACAATGCCTGTAGGCTTTGATTTTGGCGACATGATTTGAGTTTACATTATTTTCAACTCCTGACAGTCGACCGTTTCGAAACTTGCACTTCCTGCCACAACCACTGTTTGACCAAGAATGAAAGACGACAACAAGTCTCTCCCAAGTGTGATAGTAGACTACAGGTTTTCCATTTCAGAGACTGTCAAGGAGCAGAAAAAAAGACACAAGGGAGCACATTTAACGACACTTTTAACAGCCTGAAAACTCCAGTGGAGAGGTAGCTGCAAAGACCATGAAGGTCAGACGCCCAGCCCCCAATATCGTGGACACAGTCCACCTACCTGGTGCCAGCCCGTCCACCTCCTCAGCGAGAAGCCATGGCTCCGCGTTAGCCTCCTGCATGACATCGCTAAGTGGCGACAGTGGCTACAAGAAGCAGCAGCAAGACGCCATTGCGCCGAGTGACAAAAAGGAAGTGAGGCTGACACTTCTGCAATGAGCCTTTTGCTGTTGGCGCGGTGGCAACACCACAGCTCAAAAAAGCCAGTTTGCACATGGCGGCTCAAAGGCCTCATGAGGTGGCCTGTCCCTTTAAAAAAGATATTATGGAGGTAAGGTGTGAGGAGATGTCTTCCTGGTTTACTTTCTCTTCAGCCCCCGTGTCGTCAGCTATGCATCCATCCATTTCTATAGTTTGGCCCCATTAGAATGGTGGATGAGTTGGTGTCTATCCCAGGTGACATTTGCTAACAGAAGCTGGATGTCAGTCAATTGCAGGGCACATATAGACAAAACAGGCATTGACAAGTACATTCACGCCTATGTACAATTTAGAGCAGGGCTCTCAAATGCACAGCCTGGGGCCCTTGCAGCCCAAAGCATATTTTGCAGTTAATATCAGTTTAATGTTAATGCGGCCCCTATTTTTTTGTTGTTTGGGGTTTTTGTCTTTTTTTTTAATTTGTCTGCCGTAGTTCAGGCTCATGATAGCTTGGTGAAACGATTTTGAAGTGACACCTGGTGGAAAGAAAAGCTATCCTGTCACCCAACCCCAGTCATGTCCTTTTCAAAACCTGCCTTGAACAGAAAGGTTGCTGACGAGAAAAAACACTTTAAGAAAAACAGACGAGTTTGTTTTTTTTTTTTGTTTTTTTTTTTAAAAGCACATCCTCACATGTCTTGAAGGCACAGAGAAAGTTGTGGCACTCAAGAAATGACATGTCACTACTCTTCTAAGTAAAGATGAGAGAGGACTGGGTCAATAATCTTGTTCAAGTTCTAAAAAGCCGCATTCACAAGTATTCACACCTGTAGACCATTTCCAGGCTTCAATGACCGAAAGACTTTTGGTGAGAGAAGCAGGTTAAACATGAACGAGTCATCACACAGTCGCAGACAAGGTATGTGAACAACAACCATTCACACTTCACCTATGGACAAATCAGAGTCTCCCAATTAACCTAAAATGGAAGCTGGAGAATGCCTATTAACTCCAGAAAGAAAGGCAGGAACCAAGATTCAAAACCATTACCTTGGACAAGTGAGGCAGATGTGTTAAACTATAACACCATCCTGCCCGTGGCTAACTATACATTCAAAAAAAGCAAATGCAATGGATTTGGTTCATGAAGAGAATTTAGAGAGGAATCACACAAAAATTTCACCTTCGTCTTCTTGTACATCTTGTTCTTGAGGTAGCTGAAGGTGCGGCTAACTTTTGTGCCACCCTTGCCCGTCGTCTCAGCATCGCTCCGCAGCGGCCCAGGCTCCTCCTCTGATATGCTATGCAACAAAAAAAAACAAAAACAAAACAAACACAACAACAAAAAAAAAAAAATATGAGAACACACATGACAAACAGTATATCAGCGCTGTAGCGGTTTGGGCTGCACTGACCTGTATGCGAGTGATCCAGACGTGCTGGAGAAGGACCTCATACCTGTGAAGAATAAGAGCTGGTCAAAAATGCGCAAAAGATTTGAATCACAGGCTCTACTGAAACAAAATCATTCCGACAAGTGGTGATCAAACCGACAGGAAAGGGCATGGGGGAGAAAACCAACCAGTTTTCACTCACACAGGACCAGTCAATGAAAGAATGCTCGCGCCCAGGTAACAGATGAGGTCAACTACATTTGTCTGCCCTTCCCCTGCATTGACATACTTAGTCATACACTTGACTATCACAACGTGATAACCGCTACCTTGGGCAATAGAAATAATCCACTCAGTGGGAAAAAAGAAAAGTCAATCTATAGTGCCTTGTATCAATCCAAATGCAAACTGGCAAACTTTGGGGAAATCAAGATGACAATCTGGCTGAGCTCCACAAAAAAAGTAGATTGCTTAACTTCCAGGAGACTTATCAAAACAGTCAGCAGAAAGCATGAGGGGTATTTTTTTCCGGGGGGGTGGGGGGGGGGGTCAAATGCATAATTCATTTTTCCATGTATATTTTAGCTCTCCCTCTGCCTCAGCCAATCTCGCCTGGACGATGGCACAATTTGGTGCACTAGAACATCTTTAAATTCGTCCCATATACAAAAGGATAATTTTCACAATGCAAAGCCAAGGGTGGGCAAACTTTTGTGCTTTAAGGGTCACATTTGGTTTTTGGTCAGACAAGATAAAAAGAATTTTTAAAAATGCGGCCAAAAAAATTACATAGGTGCATAAAACATGTAAATTATTTTTTAACAAAAAATATTTAGAATAAATCTAAAACAGTTTAAATGTGCATGTAAAATGGATTACAATAAATTCACAAATTATTGGATGAGATAAAGGCATCAGATGAATTATTGCAACAAAAACTACATTACTCTTGATAATGTAAATGCAAGGTGGCCTTAATTAAAGCAGGCTATACGTGGCACACGGGCCACAGATTGCCCACCCCCGCTGGACGCACAAGGAGCTGGAGGGTGTCTAAGGGTGACATCAAGCATCCGGATGGCCTTGACTACAGCGCCTAGTGCGTTTGAAATACTTACTGAAGTTATCATCATCGTCGCTAGTGGACGAGTCGCCATAAAGGGTGTGAGACTTAGATTTAGTGAGGATGGGGGAAAGGCTGAAGGAGAAGGAAATCCGCCGCCTCCGGCGCAGACGTCCGACAACTGATGCGTGGGGCAGGTGGGAAAAGAACCAAAGCAAGCAATGACAAAACAACCACAACCACCTGCTTCTTTGTCGCGTGGGTGTTCATGACATATTTAGAAAGCATTTCTTAAGTGGCCCCTGCCCGAATGAACCCTTTCACGCACCAATAATGATAACCTGCAACCTGATAACATGATAGGCTGTCCGCTGTAGTGACCGCTGTCATCTCAAATGTTTGAATTTTGACAGTCTTCACCTTTTTTTTTTGGATTGCATGATTTGAATTCAGCCACTCACCGTCAATGTCTCTGTGGCTGATGGCGAGCATGGAAACAGACTTGGTGAGGGGCAGGGTCATCGGGGGGCAGCTGTTCCTCAACGGACGATAGCGCCTCGACCTCTGTGGCGACAGGAGAGCCGAGGGTGTGACGGGTAAAAAGTAAAATGACAAATGTGACAAACGCGGGTGCGTTTATGAACGCCGACCTGCTTTTCCAGGCCGCATGGCGGCCCCGTTTCCTCCTGCTCCTCCGTGAGCGACACGAGGGAGCCGCGCTCATCCATGTCATGCTGCAGCATTCTGGAAGGTTCTAGAATGCGGGGGCCTTGACCGGCCGGGCGCCGTGCCTCCTCTTGGCTGCCACTCAGGCCCTCCAGGCTGTAGCTGTGCGGACACAAAGCAAGAATATTACGGCCTGCTCTCATTTCACTTAAGAGAAACGAGAACCATTACGGAGCAAAAGGAAATGTCATGGAATTCCCGCTATTACTGTACTGCAATTGCATTTCTTTTGGAACACACTCGAGCTTCTGATATCAGTGGTCACTCAAGCTGATCCTGATTATTTTAACAGGATTTCCAATGCAAACAAGGGCCTCTGAATAAGAAAATCCAACAGCAGCAATCACGGGGAGGAAAAACCCGTGGCTACATTTCAGGATGAGCTACCCCGGCCGGCTGCAGCGCTGATAAATATCCCTTATCTTCCTTCCAGTCCTGAGGTTTTGCATGGCACCCCATTATCCAGCAAATCATCGGCCCGTCACATCGGAACATAATTAACCTCAAGTGGACCAAAAGTGGCCATGACTTCGCAGATTGTCAGAGACCAGATAAGCGCTCACCTATCCTCGGGGAGTCGGCTGCAAACGTATCCGTCACGCTGAGGCCTGCTTCCTGACATTATTATCACACAGCGCTTTGCCGAGCCCCGAGGTCGTCTGCCAACATGAATCAGAGCAGCAGCTGCTAACACAAGCCGCTGACTGACTGATGGACGGGGATGAATGACGAGACGCGAATGCAGACACGGGGCGCCCGCAACAACGACAAATGGAAAGAAAATCATGCTGTATGTTGCCTACGTTGGTTGGCTTGGGGAAAAAAAAGCTATGTAATTTAGCCTTGCCTAGAACACCTGCTTTCAAGTGGGCTCATTTGGGGGAATTTATCCAAATATGAGTCTGGAAGTTGTCCAAAATGGCCTAATTGCTGTTCAATGTTGGCACAGATCCTTAAGACCTTCATGTGCATTCTGTTATGTTATTTATATATGTCCACGCCAGTTTTGGATCGCTCTCTGAAAATGTATTTTTTTTTTTTTTTTAGCTTGCTTTGGGGGCGGGGACTGAAACAGTTTTCAGGGTGCAGGCTTATTTTTTTTTTGCCATACAAGAATAAAGTGAAATTGCACATCCACTACAGTAGGTGGCAGTGGCGCTGTCATTTTATTTAATTTTGGGCAAAGTGATGCGCCCTCGAATCTGCGGTTACTCACAAAACACTAACAAACAAAAGTTATAAAGTTATTATTTGTTCAAAGTTGATCTATACTTTTTGTTTTCTTCAATATTAATGTTTTTTTTTTTTTTTTAAAAACAAACTTCTTTAAACTTTTTTGTTTTAGTTTAATACTTTCTGACAGTGTTCACCTATTTTGGGGGATATTTTCACAGATTATTCAAACAGCTTTCACTAGTGTACCTTTTTTTGTTTCCCATTTTTGATCATTTTCATTCTTTTGTGAGCTTTTTTTCAGATCTAGATTCCTGATATCACCGCAGCATGTTTCGATCCTAACACCTTGCATTAACAATCACCAGGACATCTATTCTGTTTCATGCGTGACCATTTAAGAGTTTAATTTGCTGCAAAACGCTACACTCAGACCACAAACGCTTCACATTCTCATCTGTGTTTTTTAGCAGCGTTCTGAGCAGCAAAGAGCACATTTTCGCAGCAGGAGAGTCGCCTGCGGGGAAACAGCAAAATGCAGAGGTTGTTTGGAAAAAGCATATGTGCCAGACTACTACTACTACTACTACTACTACTACTACTAGTAGCTCTTTAGGGAGGCTTTATGCAGCTACCTGAACAACTCGTCACACAAAAGGAACCAATACAATGAGATGTACCTTCTCCTGTGAAGTGTCAGTCTCCCTTTGCAGCTGAGAGGTGAATGATGAGACAGATAGGAAGTGAAAGATGAACTTCGCCCCATTTCTCCCCCATTTACACTGTTCACTTTTTTTCTTCACTATTTTCACACATTTTTTACCTTATTTGACATAATTTTCTGAGTATTTTTACACATTTCTTTTACAATTATCACTCAATTGACTTTTTCTTTCTTTTACAATTTTAGTGCAAATTATTTTATGGCCAATACTTACTCATTCTTGAAACTTTATTTCAAAATTTTTTGACAACTCATACTTTTTCAGACTTTTTGAAAGATTTTTTGGTAATCACTATTTCTTGACATAATTTTAATTCACCCATTGATCACAACTGACAATTTCCAGATGTTTCTTTACTTTTTTTTTTTTTTTTACAATTTCCCTCTTTTTCAAAATTTTTTTC